CTCGGCACGATACGTTGACGTCTTCGCGCGCAATAAAATCGGTACGTCTCACTTTCGTACCGGGTTGCGTCGCGACGCGGTGCGGCGGGACGGGACGGAACGGGAACGAAAAGCCGGCGCCGACGACCTCAACGAGTCTTCCGGCACGGCTGTGCCCCGGGGGAAAAATCTTATCGGCGATTTACGAGCTTGACGCGCGACCGGCTGGCCGACCGGCGAGAAAGAGAGCTTCGGGGGCGCCTTCCGTTTCAAGCGCGGAACACGTGGCTCCTTTTGAACATCCACACACTTTTATCGCACACGAGTAAAATTAGAATCTCAGAACGATATAATAAAGGCCCGGCGAAGTGCAAGCTTGTACCGAGTGGTCAACAAGCGACAACTATAAATAATTTGAATCGTCCTCGTCGAAACGTTGGCACATATTAAAGAGCTTTGCCGGAAAAACTTTTACTTATATACAAGTGTCGTATTTTATCTTTGTTAAGAGACGGTATATACCAAATTCGGCAAGAGCAAGAGTATCGAATTTACGAATCCCAAGGCCCGAACGTTATTTGCACAACGAAAGGGACAACGGTGATTGCGAGGAATGCAAATTGTTGAGTACTATTAAGGAAAAGCAGCACGGTGTGTTTGCACTTAAGCGCGTAAATGCACTGCGTACGTGCGTTGCATGCACGTGCGAGTTCCTCATGATTTACGATCTTAGAATTAGACACAATAGAAACGACTCTCGCGTCTAATAATCGTGGCTTGACGCTCGACACGCTTATACCAATGCGAGCGTTGCCCAGAATTTGCAAATATGTGCCATTTCCCAAGAAACACGTAAAAGTTAACAAAAAATCCCTTTATTTTGGATTCTCAATGTCAATAAACAGTTAAATTTGGTCAAACAAAAAATCATCGTTTTGATTTTCTCTTCACTCGGTATATTCCTTAGATTTTAACCCTTTGTGGACTGGCAATCTCATTTGGAGACACCCATTTTTATTTTGTAAACTTCTTGCTCGATTTATATGAAACTTGACTTATGGGATGACTTGATAATAACGCTTTATTCGAATCTGAAGTTAAAAAGTAAAAAATTCAAAATGGTTGATTTAATATATATATGGATAGAATTTTTTTTAATAATTTGATTAACATATAAAACTCGGTTTTAGGGAATTTTTAATTGCGAAGTAACATTAAGTTTCCAGTTTTGCTTCATTTGAATCTCATCAGTACTACATATATATTACAGTATTGATTTTCGAACTGATTTTCAAACTCTGAATCCTTTGACACTAGATCTTCTTTCATGGAGATTACTTTATTACCTTTTTGAAATTCGATATTTCACATACGAAAAGAACGGTTTTGCTAAAGTATCTAAGAATTTAAGTAGATACACATCTAAAAATAAATTCTACTATCAAAATAATTATGTAGGGGATGATCAAACTGACTGCTAGAGTATCAAAACTTTTTGCAGCATTATTCATCATGTTTGATATTTCTATGTAATCCATTTTAATGATCCAACATAATTATTTTCAAACCTGTATCTAGCTAAATTTTTAGATACTTCAGCAAAATCGTTCTTTCCGTACAGGAAAGCTATACTTAGCGATATTTATAATAGAATTTCTTAAAACCGAATTTCATTAAATCAGATTATTTTAGTTATCGAAATTCGCGCGACGCATCAAGAGAAGTCAGCAACTGTAATCGTTGCATTAATAACACGGCATGCGATGGGAATCGGCTTTAAATCCGTCAAGATGAAAATCAGTCTGCCTTGTAATTAGAGACTCTCATGCCGCCCGTTTCGAGAGTTCGAGCGATTCCGCGTGCCCATTACATCTTCTTCTTTCTCCCTCCTTCTGTCTTTGTCTTTTTCAATTGCACACGGGGCAACTCGCACCCTGACCCGCGCGCTAATTAACGAATTATCATTCGACAGCGGCGGCGGCGCGACTTTATTTGGTCGCGCCAGGTGTTACGAACAGCACGCTGGCGTTGATTTAGCAATTTCTAGGCGCCACGAATCGCCAAGTAATCGCTCGTCGCCCCCGGCAATTTCCATTATTGGTGTACCGAGAGACTGAGAGTTCGCGAAGGCCGTCGTCACGGCGGATAAAGTGGAAAGAGACATGCAGCCTCCGTCGTTGCCACCACCGTCGTCGTCGTCGTCGTCGTCGTCGTCGTCGTCGTTGTTGGCTTGGTTTTCCTGCCAAATTCGACGCGGCGTGTATGAAAGCGTGGGAAATCTCAATTGTGTACCTTGCACCTCGTATTACTGAACCGACTCAGCGAACATTGTGAGAAAATTTCTTTATCGATAGTTAACGATAATTTTCTCCCGAACTTCACAGATTACGTTAATATTTTTCATCACACGTAAAAATATTTGCAGTTTACGCTTATTATTCTGATACTATTTACAAAGTTTTAATGAAATGCGAATATAATCTAAGATTCACAATAATTGTGTTTCCATTCTGTGACGGAAGATCGGAGTTTGCTACACGCGGTTAATTTCTGAATTTCTTGAATATGCAAACGCGTGGGCATCTCAAGGTGAAGCCGCGCGGTTTTGAGCGCGATTATATCACGTTTCATTCAATTGCAAAACGCGCGATTATAGCGAGCGCACTGTGATTATCTATTAAAATGGCAGTATCTCGCTGTATCGACCGATTACGTAGTCCCTCGGTGACACAATCGCATTAATGTATACAGCTGCGGCTTCTCCGTTCATCTCATGATTATTGCCGATGTGATTTCGGCAAATATACCGCGAAACAAAACGAAGCGATTGTTGCGCAGCCTCGCAGTGAAAAGAAAGGAGCTTCGTGGGGCATGAAAATTATATATAGTTGAAAAATTTATGTCAAATTTAACACACTTGTCTCAAATCCATACAAATTTTTGTATTAATTTAACACAAAATGTCAAAAAGTAACGTAAGTGTTATATAAAAAATTTACGCAAAAATGTAATACCTCTTAAATTAACGCTTGTAATATGTTAAAAATTAACAGTTTATCTTAGAATTAAGGTAATATGATAATGTTTATGAAGTAAACCATCTTAAGATCCTCCGAAAGTCGAGACATTTTCCAGATCTCGTAGAAAACTCCTTAAAGATGAATCATCGTGGCAGCTGTGCCGTTGCTAATGTACGCCTATTTATAGGATAAACGACGACGTTCTCGGAAAAAGTGTTCCATTCACCATATCGGTAGGCAAACACGAAACCAGGGCTCTCTCCTTCCATCGTGCCTCCGCCGTGCATCATGATTTTAATCGGCTGACCAACAAACACGCGTGCAACGCATCTCCCACAGACGGAGATTTTCCACGGCGATCCAACTTCCCAACTTGAGATCGCATCGCTATTCCACCCTGCGGTCGTCCCGCGTGGTCCGCGAGAGGAGGCGTTGAATTATTTATAATAACGCCGGTAGGAACAACCGATGGCATTAATGCGCGAAACGAATTCCCCGTTTCTTGCCCCGGGTGCGTTGACCACGCACGTAACGCCAGGACGTCCCGGGAAGAGTCTTGCTCCGCGCGTTATTTACGGCAGAATGCAAATTCAGCGCGTAATTTATCCTTGTCGTGAGAGAACGCTTTCCTTATCTTTAGTCCGAGTAACTTTAAGTGGCGTGGCACACAATGGATGTTGCGCCTATAAATAAAAATGACACAATTGATAAAACAAGAATTGAAAATTAAACGGCACGAAATACACAAGCGAATGCTTCTTCAGTGTAAGTTTCCTCTCGTGTTACGACGCGTGTAACTCTAAGGTAACGTGTGAGAGTAGCCTTTCACTAGGCAACCCGTTCGGCATCGTTGCACGTCAAGAGATTGACGTTCAACATGCAAAGCGCGAATGTTATTGAAAAATTAAAGGGTTCGTTTTTTTTATTGCTGCATTAAACTACACGCTAGAACTTTCTTTCTTGCTTTAGTCAAATTTCGAACATACTATTTCACTTAAATATGTATAAAGAGTGTACACTATTTCAGCTATAAAAAACGGATCTCAGCATTGCCGAGAAGACAGGCGGGAGAAAGAAACTTACACGTGGTTGATTTGAACATATTTGCATTTATTTCGTACTGTATTATTAAAATTAATACAATGACAGAAGAAGTATTTACAGGAGGTTTTTAGCAGCTACATGCGCGATCGTAATCTTCGCGATTAATTATTGTGTAATAATATAATAGCATAATATAATAATTCTATAGAATATAATATAATATAATAATAATAATAATAATAATAATAATAATAGAGAATATATCGGGCAGCGCAGCGCGTCCGAGTCGCACGGAAGGCAAGAGCCGACGCTTTCTTCCGCGGATTTTAATTAACGCGAAGAAATGAAGCGAAAACTGATTAATTCTGACTAATGACATATCACAAAGAAGAAAATAAATAACCGCGAATTCACCGTGACAGAAGCTAAGTCGACCCTTCCCGGGGTCGCACCGCCCTCGCCCGTCGTAGCAAAATTATATTTTACACATTTTTATTCCGCTCTTTGATTCTCGAAGACGCATTCTGAACCACATTCCCCAGCACACATACGCGCGCATATATGCGTCTCGAGAGGAAATGCACGCGTTAAAATTGTGCGTGTACACGGCCTGTCCGCCTGCGCGTTCGATGCATTATACTTTACGTATCCGATGTTCGCCGTTAACGAACATCCGGTGGTTTTCGCATCGATAGCCAGACCACCGTAGTCGGAGAGACTGAAAACCAGTTGCCTGGGTCCACGAGATCAAAAGTGTTCCCCTCAATTCAATTCCACGCGCGATGATTGAAGCAGCCGTCGAAGAGAAGACATCACGAGATTTTCGCTTCATGAGTTATACTCCAAGGGTGTTACTTTCACATCCCTCTGGTGAATTAAGATTCGGCGAAAATTTTACATTTTCATAGTCTAAACGGTACAAGTTCTCGAAATAGTCAACGTATCAAAAGTGTGTTCTTTAACTTCGAAGAGAACCACCAAAAACCGTATCACATCGATCCTATTTGCAATACGGAAAGAAATTTGGGAGTATTGCTAAAAATTTCGTTGCGTTAAAAAACATATCAATTATACATTTACTGGCAAATATCAGGACCTCGAATATCCCGTGGATTTGTGTATAAAGAGATGATACAAATTCACGGTTGAACGAGCCTCTCGTGCTGCTCGAAGCCGAGACTCGCCAACCAAGTCCGTCATTTTTGCAGCGCTCTCTCGTCCGCTCTTCTTTCTCGTCTCGCTCGGCGAAGACACAGGTCGCTCGTTAGCGTCTCGCCAACGAGCGTGTGTTTGCGGCGAAATGAACGAAAATTAGAGGCGCGAAAAAAGGGGGAGCGAGCGTGAGAAAGAGGACGGAACGTGTTTATGACTAGCTTTCGTTGCGCTACGCGAGCGAGCGAGCGAGCGAGCGACTCACGCGTTTCAATTTGTGCGAGATGATGAATTCTGTGGATAAATAAGTTTGTATGTACAATTATAATTTGCGCGTCTCCACGGGAGTTCGGAGAGCAGACGAGGTTGATCGTCTTGATTCTCTTTCTTTATCCTTCCGCGCGTAACGAACAATTAACAATTTTTAAGTAACAAAAGAAAAGGATGCAGATTCATAAAGTATATTTAATAGCACGATTGAGAAAATATTTAACAATAGGGAAAACGTATATATACATGATATATACTACCCATAGAAAAATGGTCCCATCTTTGTAATGTGTAATGAGAGCTGAGAGTTTTCGGTGGTTCGAGAGTTTTCGAGTTACTGACATCTCTGAAGGGCTCGGCCCCGCATTGCTAATTTCCTTCATCAAGGCCGTATTATTCTCGAGCTAACCAGAATTAGAGACGCCTAGAAAGCTCGTCTAGGCTTTCAATTTTGATTTCTCGCGAAGCCGGGCGCAATTAAGGCACTCTTCACACTTCAGACGTACATTCTCTCCCTGCTATGCATCATTATCTCGTGACTCGAAAAGCCTTGCCGCTTGTATCGGACAAGTAAACGTAGGCACTGGCGACGTGCGTCGTATTAGCGAACACGCATCGTGATTTTCTTTAAGGAAGGCACCGAAATGTATTTATCTGGATTGTCGTTGGTGGTTGTTATATTCAACAACCGATTGATATGGCGATTTGTTCCGTCGACGGAATCGCGTGCGATGCACCGAGATACAGTATTGCTGGCGATTACAGGATTTTTCCCGTGATTAACTTACTCGGCCGCTCGAACTATCGGCATTTTCAAAACGAACGCAACTTTTATCAATCTATTAGTGTGTGCCTTCCAACAAGTGACACAGATGACACGGTGTGACACAATGGATCATCACATCCTTGTTGTTTGCCAATGTTAAACAAAGATGAGATGATCACTGTATCGCTTGTTGGAAGGGGCATACACTAATACACGAAAGTGTCTGCTTCTAAAAATCATACTTTAAAAGTAGACCTCTTGGAATTACAATGACGTTTCGGATAAACATGTATCGCACCGCGTCTCGGTGCACGCGCACGCAATACAGTTCGAGTTTTCTTCAGCTCAAAAGGACGGTTGATCAATCAGTCTATCGATAACGGCAGTCTAGGAAGAGCCATTTTCGCTCTAGTTCTTGATTTCAAACGGTTTCGTCGGGCAGTGACGGCGGAATCCGTCAGGATTGACGAAAAATCGCCATCGAGTCTCGATGGATCGACTATCTTCGTATATGGCGGAATGCGTTCCACTCATAACCGGAATCTAACGTTGGGTGTCGCGATGACTCCATACGATCTTTCCTTCGGATCTCTGCCGTCGCCACCTCGGTGCGAGACTATCTTATGTGATCAGCATCGCAACTGCAACCGCAAGCACCTTTTTGCAAGCCACGCATACTCGCGATTTGTTTTATCGCTCGTACATTCTATGATTACTCGAATATATACATCAAGACCACCCTCTTCGAAGCCGATCGCTTCCACGAAGAGTCAATGCATACATGCACGCACGCACGCATACATTCGTATACGCATTCACATGCTCTCTTACAGTATTTACAACAGCCGTTTGTTCGCTTTGATATGATACAAACTACGATCTCTCGTCGGCACCTTCGCAAAGGCACGCGTATGTAGGAAGGCATTGTACACGTAGGATTCCACATGCGACACGTTTTGCACGTGGTTACGTTGTACGACTCGCATAGCCGTACGCACACTCTTTACAATCGGTCTTGGTTTCCCGAGAAGTCCAGCGAAAGTCGGGACAGGAGCTGTTCGAGAGGCTGTTCAAGGATTCTAGAGATCAGGCTTGGTGTGGTACGCGCGTAAACTTTTTGTTCTCGCTACGAAATACTGCTTAATAATATTACATGCATCGCGATCGAGTTACAGGATGCCGCATCGCAAAATTTTCTGATCGTGTTAACGACACACATCGCCTTTACCGAATTTCGGCGAAATGTAAGAACACACCGCATTTTTCATGCTATCATTTCACGTTCCCCTAACGCTATCACAGCATTATGTGCTTCACGAAAAATAAATTCAAAAATAATCCCTTTCTTTTACATACAAATGTCGCATAACGTCGATGTTGTTCTTTATCGTTCTAGAATCAAAAGATCCGTAAATTCGAATATATTTTTCACAAAGCTCATAGTCCTTATAGAAAGATGCGCAATCCTGAACCTTCCTAAGAACCTTCTCTGACGTCACAGCCTTCGCAAATCTCGAGGAACTTCGCCCGTCTCGGTCCCACCTTATCCTTCGTTCGCACATCTCTCGGGCACGCCTCGTTGCTCAAAACCTCCCTTCTACTATTCGCGTCACTGTACACGTGATATATTACGCGATATGTACAATCGCCTCAAACTCTCGAACTTCCGATCCCTCGGCAACTCCTCGAAGAGGCTGCCAGAGATGTCCGTCCACCTGCGCACGAATATAATTCAACGCCGACACCTGTCGACGCACAGCTGGACGGCACAATCTTACGAGGCCTCGTGCACCTGGAACCGCCGAATCCGCGCCTGCACTGACTCGCATTGTACTTCGCTGTACCTGGTGTACCTGCCAGCACGTACGGGTTCCCTAATAACTACCAAGTTGCCGCCCCGTTCGCGAAGCGCCTCCAGACCGGCCTTGTTGCTACTGCCGCCACGCAACGCCGTCACCGTCGGCGGCGTCGTCGTCGGGATTTTCGCTATCTTCACACCAGACGAGGTCGTCTCCGACGTGAAACGGCTGAGCGCCTTACTGACGACGCCACTGCATTCGCGTGGCCAAACTCTGGTGGCACGATGATGATGATGATGCCTCTGTTCCCACCTATCGGCGGTCGCATCGGCGGCGGTGAACGGAAAACTCGCTCTACCTTGACTCTTACCGTATAGAATAAAATCGAGGGAGTCGTCCGAATAGATGCTACTGCGATCGCTCGAGCTGTCGGTCGAGATTTCGGATACAGTATCGCTGCCGCTATCACTACACTGTTGCTCGGTCTCGCCGAGGATGAACACGGGCGTGCACTTGAACACCTCGCCACCGCCAGCCGGCATCGTGTGGGTGGCAGTGGCGCGACGTTGCTGAATACTACCGTTGGTGTTTGACGATGATGATTCGATGATGACGATTTCCGGTAGGACACTGCCGGAAAACTTTCGCGCCAGCGAGTCCATGTTCCTCTTGAAAGTATCCCTACGGTCCGGGCTCAGCCCGAATCTGATGGGTTTGGGCAACGATCTCGAGGCCGAGTAGAGGTTCTCCGTGTGCGAGGAGACGGCGCGAGTGCCCGCCGCTGACTTGGAAATTTCCGCACTGTGGCACAAACCGGTCGTGGACGACCGTTGCTGCTTCTCGCCGTCGTTCTTCGGCGTAGACGAGACCTGACTTTGATTGGCGATCGGCAGCTCCGACGAGGGGCTGTCCTCTTGCGGGGGCGTCGTCGAGGAGTCGAGAACAGCAGCAGGACTGTCGTCCGACGAAGGGCACGTCGCCAAGGGCGCCAACGGCTGCTCGAACATGTTGAACCAGGGATGCTGGAGACACTCAGTCACCGTCAAACGTTCACTGTGAACAAGACAAGAGTCGCTTGCTTGAAGAGAATCGTTTTGCGAATTTTTCAAAAATTTTTTTTTAATTAATCCTACAATACTACTTTCATTATGGCATACACTAATTTTCTTTTACTTTGTATATTATAACTTTGATAAAATATTCGAGATGTACATGAATATTACCCAAACGTGTGTGTCATATTTAATGCTGATTCAGTCAACATTTTATATCATCAAGAAAAGATAATCGAAGAAAGAATATTTTAAGAGAAAAAGACAGAATGTAAATGTAAAAATAAAATTTAAAAAAATTTCTCTGAGTACCGATAAAATTTCAGAAATCCCTGATAAAAAAATTCTTGAAAATGCCAGGTCTATCTAAGAATTAAACACTTTGTTATAATGTACTTATTTTTATGCGATATTTTTGCGAAAATAGAATGTCTCAGAAACATTGAAGGGCTGAGCTTTCAATTCGACGTCGTACTTCTAATTCCCGTTAGAATGCTGAAGAGACGTGACGCGATTATGTTGGTTACTTTAGTACACGCGGTGCTCTTAAACAAATATATCTGAACAACAGGCTCGTTCCGCGAACAACTATGTTCTCGTCGTCCTCGTTAACTCGAGGAGCGACAGAGTCAAAGGGTTAAGAGACCCGTCGCATAAACGACCTCCACTAGGCGGACCGGAGCATTTATCGACGGTGGCCATCATCGTGGCGGTCCCGCCGGGACGTTTTCACGTGGCTGTTTCATGCTGTGTGTATGCCATCCGCGTATCGCGCGGTCTGCGCAAAAACCATTATGTTAGCTAACGTATCGGTCGACTTCCGGCATACAGAACGGCGCAGGATATCTTCAATAACGAAGCAAAAGAATTGTGTAACACGTAAACGCCGTGGAATGCCGGTCCATGGAGGAGATACTAAAGTGCTTTAGGAGGCGACCCCCCTTAATTCTGGGATCATCAAAAAGGCCCGGACAAAAAGTATTCATATAAGAGCATTATAACTTCTCCACGTTATTCGCGCATTTATATTATGACATTCAAATCGAGTGTAAAAACGAGCGGTGAAATATAATATTAGATGAATTTTTCCAACTAATGGATTAATTAATTTTATGAATTAGGCAAGCACAAAATTGTTAAGTTATCGATCAAATTTATGTAACGATTATATCGTGATCACAGGGAATAGATTTATACAACTGGAAAATTTGTTTACTTAAATTTAAAATATCTCAAATGGTTCCCTTGATTTTTTTTGTATTAATTTAATACGAAATAAATATATTAGAATGTGACAGAAACATTATGTAAAAATTAATACAAAAAATTTAACGCTTTGACATAATTTGGAAAAGATGTAGAAGCTTATTTCTTCAGTAAAATTGATATTTATATGTTAAATTTACACATAGCTTAATCTTTATTTGTTTATCTTAGAATTCCTGTTATAAAATTACATTTTTATGATATCTATTATTCATAAGTTGTGTTATTTTCACACTACGAAATGTTAAACGTCAATTTAGTACAAAATATTCAAATAACAGTCACATTATATTAAATTAACACACACACACACTCAGATATGTTAAAAATACAACACAAAAATTTTAACAAGAACCGGTTTCGACACAAGTACAAAATGTTTTTATTATGCAGATCACGCTTATTAATCATTAACGTTAATTAATTTCGCAATCATTTGCATAGTGTAAATGCATAAAATGCATGAGAATAATTAAAATACATTAATTTTAACGCATTGCAAATGACTTGACGCGTAAACAAACATAAATTCAACTGGAAAGTTTTCTTTCAGCGACGTGTGTTCGAAGCCTCTTCAAGACGAAATATGGTAATTTGCAGATCAGCGATGAAGACTGCTATTCAACTTCGTAGGACATGACGATAAGTCATGCGGGTTCCGCGCGATAAGACCCCCTATGTTTGCCCGAGAGGAAGGACGCGAATAATTCCGGATAGCAACTTCCTCTCAGCTGTCCGCGCGATAAGGAAACCTACGAGGTCTCTCAGTCTTTCTTTTTTACAGTGGAACTCGCCTTCCTCGACATCGGTCTTCCCGCTTCGAAGAAAGTCACCTCGCGAAGCGACGTGGCGCCAATCGTTTTTCTCCCGTTCGTGTACTCGTGACCGACGATGAGCTCGATGATTGACTGACGATAGTTCTTATCCTCCGGATGGACGAGCTAATAAATGCATCTCAATGGAATCACAATGTCGCCATTGTGCACGGCTAATCCGCAAATTATTAAAAGAAAATAGCAAGATGGAGCTTCACGATTCGAAGAAGACATCGCGCGATTAAAACCGGGAATTGATGTACATAATTTAATCCGAAACGCATTAATTTGCGCATACATCCGTTTGATTTATTAAATATACGCTTGCGATTTTTATTCGCTTTCATGTTACGTTTCGTATAATTGAATGAAAGGCGAAGCCATTGCAATAACACGATGAAAGTTAAACCCGAGGCTACGGGATATGTCTCGCTCCTAGAAATCCATACAATAAAAGACATCGACGGGGCTAAGAATCTAACGTTCATTTCTACAAATGTAAATTAACTTTAATCTCGATTTAATTTACTCCTTATTTTTTTCTATGAACTAGAGAAAGATTAAAAAAGAGTCAGTTAAATTGAAATTAATCTACAGTACATTGATACTGTTTCAGAAAGAATTTCTAATATCGAGACAAAAAGTATTCTTTTGAAGTACTTAATTTCATGCAATACAAAAATAAAACAGTATTAAAATGAAATGAATAATTTCTTCTCCCTCGAATGAAATAAGATCGATTTATTGTCTTGGAGACAAGAGTGACATTAAGTTTATATATTCTTACGCGTTTATAGAATAAATCTTTAATCCAAATATTGTAACACACAATGCTGGCGCCATAATGTAAGGTGCTGGATCATTTATTCTAAATTAAAACATTTTTCATTTAAAAGTAAACTATTTCTCTTTTAACAATAAATATATAATGAGATTGTCCCTATATTGATCCTATTTTAGGGTCGATATTATTTGATAAATTCGAAAGTAATGGCTGCAGCATAGACTTTTGCATAACGCATAGTGCATAAAAGAATCAGAATATTTCCTGCCTTTCTTCTCATTTCATAGAAAAGAACAAGTTCGATCGGTTGATTTTCTTATGCAGTATGCGTTACGCAAAAGTTTGTGCTGCGGCCGTTAATAGTATTATATTCGGAAATCTTTTCTACGGATGTAACAACCCACAAGGCGTTTCGGCGACAAACAGGAAACGTTCCTCGTGGGGGGAACGCGACTGTTGCAAATTTCTCGCAAGCGAATGATTTTCCCCCGAATGCAAACTATCAATGGACGGCGTTGACCCACTGATACCAAATCGCTGTTGGCGGCGCGGCGGTGGTAACGATCCCTGATGAATCGTTACCGTCATGCGATGTCATCATCTCGGTTACAGCACGGAATGTCGCGCTGCCTGCGCAACGATATGTCTACGTGACGCGATTGTTTTCGTTCTAGGAAATCGGCCGACATACCGATATATAACTAACAATGTAACCGACGCGCCGCGAGCGCGTGTTTCACGTGCTATCTTCTTTCGCTTCGAAATAAGCGCCGGGCATTCTCAGTAGATCGCCGCAGCCTTCCGCGAAAGAATTGTTTTCACCGGTCCAGGAATGCTCGCGCCGGTTCTTCAGTAACGCGCTCGCCGACACCCGCCTCGACGAACCGGATAGGCGACTAACGTCGACCGACCGAGCGATACAGTGCGGGAATTACGATGTGGGTGCGTAACGTACAATATATAATTTGCGGCGACGACGTCTCGATCACAGCGGGACAACGAATGGAAATCTTTCCGTCGAATCAAGTGGAGTATATGAAGATAAATGGCGAGTAGCTCGCCATGATGATCAATGAATCTCGCTGTGAATTTGCGTCGCCACGCGAACGTTACGCGCATATTTCACACAGCTTGTTCTAATCGTATCCGAGAATTAAATTCCTCGAGTCTATCTTTTCTCGTTTACTTGACTTCCGCGTTGATAGATGGAAAGAACGGTTTTACTGAAGTATTTAAAAATTTAACTAGATATATAGATCTGAAAATAATTTCGTTGGGTTATCAAAATAATTGCGTAGAACACTTAAACATTAGTGATAATGCAAAATTTTTAACATTCTAGCAACCAGTTTAATCGTGCCACATAATTATTCTGATTATTCAACGAAATTATTTTCAGATATGTATCTAGCTAAATTTTTAGACACTTCAGCAAAACCGTTCTTTCTGTATATTAATGCGGAAATCGAAGTAAACGAGGAAAGACAGGTTCGAGGAATTTAATTTCTATTTTTAGATCTATATCTAACTGAAGTTTTATATACTTCAGCAAATCCGTTCTTTCCGTATATCAATGCGGAAGTTGAAGTAAACGAGAAAAGACAGATTCGAGGAATTTAATCATTTTTAAATCAGTACGTATGCCGAGTTAAATTTTTAATACTGCAGTAAAACCGTTCTTTTCATGTATCAATGCGGAAATCGCAGTAAACGAGAAAAGGCATATTCGAAGAATTTAATTTTTATTTTTTTTATCTTTAACTAAACTTTTTAATACTTCAGCAAAACCATTCTTTATACGAAAATTACATGTTCTAGTTTCATCAATCTAATATAATTACGTTATTACCTCTCTATTGTGACAATTGAAGAGCAGATTTTCAAAATGCCGTTTCGTCAAAATTTATAATTTTCAGAAAACGAGAAAGAAAGAAACTACGCACACAAGAAAATTATGCACTTTACAGAAAATAACAATATGCCAATCAGGATGTGAAATATTAAACAAAATTGTTAAACAATGCAAAAAATGTTTAACAAATGCATTTTGTTTGTTTCCAGTTAAAAAACATAATACAGTTCGAAATATCTATATTTTTTCAGCGTATAAAGATGAAAAAATGCTTTCTGAACATCTCAGAGTAGCTAATAATATGAGTCTTTCAACACTGAACACTACGCCACCTCTAACTAAAAAAATGAAATTTTGGACAAAACGCATTTTGAAAGTCTGCTCCTCAATTATGATTAGAGCTAAGAAATTCGTTTAAAACTTACTTCGGATCTTTGACCATAAGTTTGCGCATAAGATCACGCGCTTCCTCGGAGACGTCCTCGAAGAGATCGTCTGGGAAGTCCAGGCGACATCGGCTGATGTTGCAGAACGTCTCCTGTTTGGTGTCTCCTCCGAACGGCGAGCATCCCGTTAGCAGCACGTAGAGCAGCACGCCAACGGACCACATGTCGGTCGCCAGGCTGATCGGCTCGTAATTCAGAACCTCCGGGGCTGAGACACACACGGTAGATGAGCCGTTATTATAACGTGGCGAGATTCCGTGGTACATCGAACCCTAATGCTCATCGAGATGTGTGTGTGTGTGTGTGTGTACGCGCGCGCGCACGTAAGTCCCGGTAATTAAATTCGAAAAAAAAGGAGATAACGCCTCTTCTGTCCCCCGGCCTTTCTGCCATTACGTCGTCGCGACCGCTATTACGACGCGCTGATGCTTAATGGAGCCACGCGTGTTCCTCAACGGGATAATAATAATTGTAACTACGGACGTATTAGGCCCCGAGCGCGAACTAGGTAATCACCACGATACGGAAACGCGGTTGGCTCGTTCATCGCGTAATAGTCGCGCGCTCGAATCGGCCACTTTGTATCGACTCGTTTCCGACCGAATCACGCTACAGTTTTTCCACGCCCTCGGCATTATCCGTCCAACTTAATTGCTACAAAGATCCACGAGCTGTTTTTTATCGCGTGAACGGTTTCGCTAATTTCTGCGAATGATCTCAGAGTTGATGCTAATCAACCGATTAAATCTCACCGGCGTGGAAATAACGATCGGTTCAATTAAAACTGATCTTTTCTCTCTTTTCTTTTATTCGATATGTACTGACTACTGGAAGAAGAGTTTTTGGTATTTGTGACTATAATTGCATGGTAACATAATTATGGTTGAGAGCTCCATTTTTACAATTATTACTGCTATAATGTTAGTACAGGAAGGATGGGGATTATAGAATACTATTTTGCATTATCGATGCAATTATAGTCACAGTTGTCAGAAAATTTTCTCTCAGTGCACAATTTCGGAGTTACTCTTTAAATCTTCACGAAGCAACAATTCCTTTTTTTCCAACATTAAATTTTGATTCTCATTCGTACAAAACACAACCAATAGAGATAAATGCCTTTAAGCTGAATCTTAAGTACTTGTATAATTCTATGTAAATTTATATACTATACATATGTAGTCCTTTAAACTGCGCGCCGAAATGATTTTTCAGTCTTGAAACGCAACCTCTAGTAATTACCCCAGTAATATTATGAATTAAATTGACCAGCAATTTAACAATTTGATGCATTTTAAACGATCTTAATAATACTGAGTGACATATTAAAATCGGTAAATAATTAATCCTTTTTTTTCCCAGGACAATTTCATTTTGTAAATATCAAGAGTGTAACCGGAACAGCTCGAGACTTTTTGATTTTCTCCGTGAGAGATTATCTTGTCTCGCTATTGCTTGACACTTTCGTCCACTTAGAGCATGACTGTTAGATGATACGACGTAATCGCAACAGTAATCGATTACGAGGATCGTAAAAGAGTCCTCCTGGCCGATCAGGCGTGCAGAACCCGACCACGAGTGATTCTCTAGTTTACAATTAGGCGCGAAGTAGCTTGTTTCGTTCAATCACGCAACGTGCCTGTTTTCCTAATGGAACTACACAACACGGCGATTTCTTAGCATCAAACAGATCGCAAACGTGGAACGCACGAAGGTGCGACCCCGACGTCGCACTCCGATCGACTTTCGAGGCCGGAAACCACCGGCACGCACATGTTCACCGTCTGTATAAGGCACCGCGTTAAAACGGGCTCGCTTTATCAGGGTTGTGGTCTGTTATCCTCAGTGACACGCACAAGTCCAAAACGCTAGGGAAACGCGCAGGTGTCAATTACGATTGCGATTCTCGTGCGAACTCCCGGATATTTATTGCTGGTGCGAGTGAGTTCCATCGTGGTCGCGTTTTGCGATGACAAGCGACATATTCGGAGTCCATTACTCGAGTAGAATGAAATGAAATTGCGTTTGTGGAAAATGTAGAGTAAAAAAAAGTAGAGTTGTTCAAGTAAAAGATTGGCCATCATTTAGACAACTTAATTTATCCGTCATATTCTCTCTCTCTCTCTCTCTCTCTCT